CCATATTCCCACCTTTGTAATCAAGGTAGGGTTGAATGTGGATTTCATCAAGCATCAGAGAAACATATCGTTGCTCTTCTTGCAGAGATGAAATCATTTGCTTTGCATACATTAAGAACATAGAATCACATTGCTCATGTTGTGGTGTCGTGTGCAACTTAGCACTAATTTTGCGTAAAGTACTTGGATCAGGTAAGGTTAAAGTACCAGACTGACGCAAGAATTTGTACGCTTGGGGGGAAATATAAAATAACAAGCAAGAGAGGATTAGAGTATTAGAAGAATACCTAAACCTCTCAGGCTTACACATTAAAAAATTCAACTGCTCTAAAATAAAATCAAGGGAAACCTTATGTTTATCCTCAACAATATCCTTCAAAGAAGTCAACAAAGATTCAACAATTTCCAAATAATAAGTAATTGGATCTTTCGAATCAATTTGCTGCTTCTCAAGACGTTCCAATGTATCAAAAATGTCATTTATTTGGCCAACAGCTAGAGGTAATTTTTTACCATCATGTTTTAGCAGTTTCTGGCCTTTAAAACTAACATGTAAACATAAATTATCATAAACAGTAACAACATATAAAACATTTGGTACATCTTCATCAGAAAAGTTCAAAAAGTTAACCTGTTTATCCCCGTTAAAAAGGGCATGCCAATTTTTTGGCAGAACTTTATCCCCTAGCAGCATTTTCAGCTTTGACAGTGAGTCAAAACTATTAGTCTCAGCATACAAACATGCTGCCTCTTCACTGGCTTTTAATGCCTCAGCTAGTTGAAGTTCTTCAATTTTTTGCTTTTTTGCTGAAGGACTCTCTCTTGAAGAACTAGCTGAGGACAGATATGAAGGGCAATTTTGGAATAGGCAGGGTACTGCTTCTTTTTCCAGCACAGGCCGATCCAGTGTGTAAGAAATGTGCCTTCCCGTCCTTTCATCAAAGTGGGAGGCCTCTCTTCTTATATCCTCAGCACGAAAATGCTTTTCACATACCTATAATTAATAACACACAATGAATATTCGCAATATAATATAATTGAATATGTTTTTTTTTCCTTTCTAAATTTTAATTGTTTTGTATTGCGATTATTATTATTAGTTTTTTTTTTTGGTATTTATAATCAGAAGATTTCTTCAGTTGAGCACAAGGCAGTTTTTTACTTATTTATCGTTTCAAAAATAACACTTTTGATAACACTTAGTTCCGTTGCTTTTTTTTAATGTTAAATAAGATCATTTTTTTTACTAGATGTAACTATAATTAATTTATATCAAATAAATGCTTATGAATAAAATGAAAACTAAATTTCCCAGAATTAATAGAAGATATTATGTATATTTCTCAAATTATTATTACCAGTCGTTGCAGCACTTAAATTTATCGCTCGGAAAAAAAAAGAAAAAAAAAACAAAGGAAAAAAATTAAAATCAACATGCGAATAAGGATGAGAATGATGTTAGTATAATCCCCTTCATTGAGAAAAATAAAAGTATTAAATAATAAGAAATTATATTTAAAAATTTTCAAAGACTTACTCTTGAGTGAGCAGTTATTTTGTAGTTCTTTCTTGGAATTTTCCGCAACCACAATTGCTGCAATTCAGCATCCTGAGGGAAACGAAACACAGAAACTTTATGATCTTCATCATAGTTCCCTCGACACATTGGGACGCAACACATATAAACCATGCTGGCTGCCTGAAAAATAAATAGACATTAAGACTTATGGCTGTAACTAAAATATTTATTAATACCTTAATGTCCAATTAGAATAATGAAAATAAAAAAAATTAAAAAAATTATTTCCCAAAAAATATGTTACAAAATATATTTCCTAGTTAACTGATTCTTAAATAAATTTTCTAAAGTTCTGGTTCATAAAAACAAAGTTCTGCGAAATGTACTCAACAATCTCTAAAATAAGTGTTCGTTAAGTAATTTATTCACTAAAATTTTCTTTATTCAAAATACTTTTTTTAAAAGTAAAAATTCTAATAGCTAAATATAAACAAATGTAACTTTTATCAACATTCTTCAGATAAACACATATGGTATTTTCCTACTGAAATTTGCTTAAATTTTATTTCATTAGAGTTAAAAATAACTACTTTTCATCACCAAAACAGTTTAAATTTCTTTGTAATGCTTGTTTATAATAATTAGTGAAAAGTAGTTTTCAAATATTGTAAACATTAAACCAATTGGTAATTCTACATTTCAAATAATATCTTAAAAAATATTTTTCTTAGTTTACAGATTCTTAAATAAATTTTCTAAAGTTTTGGTTCATAAAAACAAAGTTCTGCTAAATGTACTCTACAATCTCTAAAATAAGTGTTCGTTAAGTAATTTATTCACTAAAATTTTCTTTATTCGAAATACTTTTTTTAAAAGTATTATAACAGCACAGTAGAAGAACTATAAGTTAACAATGACACCAAACCTTGATATCGAAGTAGAAAATAATAATTTTATCCCCGAACATCAGTACATTTAGAAATTCTTCAATATTAAAATTCTTCTCAGACATATTTAAATTTAAAATTTTAATAGCTAAATATAAACAAATGTAACTTTTATCAACATTCTTCAGATAAACACATATGGTATTTTCTCACTGAAATTTGTTCAAATTTGATTTCATTAGAGTTAAAAATAACTACTTTTCATCACCAAAACAGGTTAAATTTCTTTGTAATTCTTGTTTATAATAATTAGTGAAAAGTAGTTTTAAAATATTGGTAAACTTATACCAACTGCTAATTCTACATTTCAAATTATTAGGTATTTTTACTGAGAAAGATATATACACATCTCTAATCTAACATCATAATGTACAAAACATTAGAAACATCATATTAGTATTACAAGAAATTGCATAGTTTATTCTTACAAACACTAAAAAGTTTAGCAGTAAATGTATAATTCAAACATATTTTAACCGATTTATTGAAATGTATATTTTATAAACAATTCTAGGGCTATTTAAAATCTTGAGCAGTCCATTTAAATCGCTTAGATTCATTTAAGATGCTTTAGCTGATGAAGTATGAATATAAAATACAATCGAATGCTTTTGTAATTTTATATTTGAACACTAAATTATGTTATTTTATAATTCAAATGGAAATAGATCAGATAACACATATAAATACATTTGGAACTCAAATAATGTCTCACAACATAACACCAATGCAAGTTAAATAATATACGTGCTTTCAATCCGATTTCAAACTTAATTTACACCATATTACAGTAAAATCTATTGAAATCAAACATAACACATTAATAAAAAAAATAGTAACTTTTACTTACTTTGATATCTCTTTAAATCTTCGATAAAAAATGAAATTCTGCTGCAACATTCACGTGTTCAATGGAGCTTTAAATGGCGTTCCTACGTTAAAGGTACAGACGCTATTACCTTCTCCTCGTGACGTCACGGAGTTGAAATAGTTGAGCCAGCAGGCCTTGACCTTCTAGTAGGTTATGCTCAGACAGGCCTTCTGTCTGAGCTGAGCTGTTACACAGAAAGTGTCGCTTTTTCGCCATTGTGTATGTGTAGTAATTTTTTAATAGCTGCTCGCCGCTGCGTTATTTTTCTTGGTATTCAACCTTACACTTATGTTGCGCGGCAGTTTTTAAAAAGTCATTAATTTCTTCACCTCCAAACGTTCCATCGCTACAGTTTAAACTCTTTTGGTGAAATTTTAACACTACTGCAAACGAAATTTTTTTTTTATTGGCTTACATCTAGAGCAGGTAATTCCATTTTGATCTTCTTTTCTTGAAAAAAGGAACTGTCCTAAATATGACGCTGGGCGTTAACCGGTTAAACTGTCCTGTGTGTAGACTGGCTATGGTAGCTGAAATTACCCGGTTGTAATTAAGTTCTGGAACAGAATTCTTCTAAGGTGTTTGGGTGGTGGTTTAGGTTGTCTGGCTATTGCATCAGTTTCAGTAAGGGTGTATAGATAAGCTTTACCTTGACCCGCCCCCACAGGGGGCATCCAGGGATACTGATTGCCCACCAGGGTACTGATCATTGAACAACTGTTCAAATATAAAAAAAATGGTCCAAATCGAGAAAACACTAGCAGGGCTGTGCAAATGAAAAATCAGTACGACATAAAATGATAACATATGTAAAGAAGTCCCTTAACGAAACGGGTTTCCTATAAAATAAAGGGCAGATGAAAAGACGTTCCGTTACAGAAGGAAATTCAAAATCAGTGTAGTGGGCCCTTTATCGTATATCATTCTCACTCTGTTGTTTCCTCGAATGTTCTGAATGTTTCCTCGGAAACCTAGTGTTTGGTGGAAGATGTAAACGGGTTCAGAGAGTTATGACTTTTTTTTAGCATTTTTGAAACCAGTAATTATATTCAGATATAAAATAAATAATCCTTTATTTACTTAAAATTTTACTTATCTTTATGATATTATTGAAAATTAAATGTCAGTAAAAAATAAATAAGTCTTATTTTGGAGAAAAATTACATAATTTATCAAAAAACAATGTATTGAATAAATTTCGGAAAAGACATGCGTTTATGAAATATTGCTTTAGCAATATTTCATAAACGCATGTCGCACTTCCCATCGCATTTTTAAAACCAAATAATAACTGTGATGTGATCATCACAATTGGCGATCGAAATGGGCTGCAGGTGGCGTAGAGCAGAACTCTCTACCTATAGCAACATTTCACATGCGTTCCCCATTAGCGTGTGGGGAGTCATAGAGGAAGGAAGTACGTTAGTTACATCTTTATATTTATTAAAATGCAACAGTTTTTTAAATATAATTTATTTTGAATTTTTCTACATTTTTAACTACTCTATGATGCTTTTATGAAATTTAATATCTTCTCCCAGCACACAGGGGGAGAGAGAGAGAGAAAATTCAGCAAAGAGGAGAGAGAACTGCGGGGAATACTGGTCTAACTCCAAAAGATAACGTCCCCTCTTTAGCGGTTGCGAGAATCTCCAAAGCCAACACGCTAGGCTCTGAGCTTTGAGATTTCGCAGAGACCAAAGGCAACCAAGAGGGCGCTTCAGTTGGAGACAGCTCAGAAGGCAATTGGAACAACAAACATTATGATGATGACATCACAAATCCCCCCCCCCTTGAGTGGAAAAAAATCCCTACTTATTCCCTTAAGAGTAAAAGCTCAATCCAAAAATTTTAAATTACCATTAAATTTTACAAAATGCCAGTCATGAAGTTAAAAAACAACATCATACATGTATATTATGTTCAACATAAGAATCTTAATTAGTCATATATATTAAAGATGAAGCTACACAAATGTTTTCAGTTGAAAAAACTTCGTAGCTCATGGCCAAAAAAAGTTCAATTGTCCAGATGTTCAGAATTATACAACAAGAATTGTGTTTTTTAACAATTCAAATCGGATATCACAAGGTCAAATCTCAGATGAAAAAATAAAATGACATTTTGTATGATTAAAATATCGGTTATTTTGTATGATATTTGTATGCGATTTTGTATGATATTTGTATGCAATTTGTATACTTGTACGCGATTTTGAATGATTATTTTGTATGAAATAAATATTTTGTGTATGGTTAAAATATCACAAATAATCACACTTTGAAAAAATTATTGCACTTTCATTGTAAGTCATGCAAGTATATTTTGTCACAATTTGGAATAACATTAAAACCTAGAAAAAAAAGGAGTTAATTCCATAAAAAAATTTTTTGACAAATTTAAATTTTGATAATAAAATCATAAAATTTATGACAAGAAGGTCAAATGTAAAATGCTTATGAATCAATAATTATGAAAACCATTCTTAAATGTTTGTAGTTTAATTAATATGAATATGTAGCTAAGATAAATCAGAAAGAAAATCTATCACTGAAACATAAAAGGCAAATACGTGTGATTATTCTATATGACTATCTGTGAAGAAAACATCAATTATGTATTCATTTGTTTTTTTTTTTTGTTGTTGTTTTGTTTTGAAAAAACTTAAATTTTATTTGTTTGCGAAACACAAGCACTTTTTTTATATACTTCCCAAAAAGAAAATTACTAATTCTAAATTAGTAATTTTAAATACACTTATAAATAGAATGAATCACACTTATAAATAGCATGAACGTGAAATCCAGTACAGGTAACACATTTTCATACCTTGTGAAAAGGCAAGCATGATCATTTACAAGTGAATTGGTAGTAAAACATATCNATTTGATATATATATATATAAAAATTTTTGATTTGCATATATATAAATATTCAACATATATAATATATCCCTTATAATGCTGAGTATCTTTGTTCTCATATTATTTAAACAGCGAATGATTAGGATTATAACGCTAGATAGCTCCATGAATTATGAACTGTAACTAAAACAATAATTCTGGATTGTTCACTTCTGGACAGGGCAAAGAGAATAGAAGGGCTGGTTTACTCCTCTGAAGAAACTCTCGCAGTGCCAAACCTCCGATTTTCTCCAGTGACGTCACGGTGGCGCAAAGCTTGCACTTTTACTCCAAGAACGGAGCGTTCGGTCTAACTACCTCTAACTAATATTGGAGCATTCCTTTTTGTGACATATTCCAAGACATTTGTTGTTTTCTATAATGACTTTCCTTTGTTTTTTGAAAGTGAATTACAATAACTTAAAAGTATTAACGAAATGCCAGTTTTCCCGATTGCAACTTGCACAAATTCTGATAGAGACACAAGAGGAAAAAATATAATTTTTCACTTGTTCCCTGAAGTAAATGAACAACTATGTAAAGGATGGATTCAACTTTGCAAACGAAATGACACAGTTAATATAAAACAGCAATACGTTTATTCTATCGTTTAAGAACTTTTATTAAAATTCGTCATCTAAATAGAATCCGCCTCGTTACTTCAAAAAAAAGGCAGGCGAAGAAATTAAAAAATGGATAAAGTAAAAGAAACTGAAACGTTAATAAAAAGTATAAATAAATATATCGTATGTAGTTAAATATCGCCTAATTTCATAACATATTTTTTAATGTAGTTATTCTAAATATTTATGATATTTTTTAATTATATTCTCTTGAATTTAATTATCTACAAATTATATTATCTTAAATTTAAATATCTATAAATTATATTATCTTAAATTTAAATATCTATAAGCAATTGTAACGTAAACGTCAAACGTAAAAATGGATAATGTAAAAGAAAATTGAAACGTTAATAAAAAGTATAAATAAATATATCGTATATAGTTAAATATCGCCTAATTTCATAACATATTTTTTAATGTAATTATTCTAAATATTTATGATATTTTTTAATTACTATATTCTCTTGAATTTAAATATCTATAAATTATATTATCATAAATTTAAATATCTATAAATTATATTATCTTAAATTTAATTATCTATAAATTATATTATCTTAAATTTA